AGGAAAGCGGACAAATGAGGCGACAGCAGCTAAGCGGTTGCGGCTGGACAGTGGACCCCAGAGCCTGTCTGGGAAGTCGACCCCTCAGCCCCAATCTGGGAAGTCAACCCCCAGCAGTGGGTAAGTTGGTGAGGACAGCAGGGGCAGGAGGGGACCACTGGGAAGGAGGGCCACCCACTAACCTCCCCACTCTCCACTGCGCTCCAGTGACGTGCAGGTGACTGAGGACGCTGTGCGCCGCTACCTGACACGGAAGCCCATGACCACGAAAGACCTGCTGAAAAAGTTCCAGACCAAGAAGACAGGGCTGAGCAGAGAGCAGACAGTGAACGTGCTTGCCCAGATCCTCAAACACCTAAACCCTGAGCGCAAGATGATCAACGACAAGATGCACTTCTCCCTCAAGGAGTGAGGGGCTGGCCCCCACCCTTTTGCCCAATAAATAAGCTCATCTCCAGAAATGGAGCTTGCAGGACTAGAAGTAGTTGTGAGGGAGTCAGTGAGTGAGTGGTGAGTGGATGTGAAGGCCTTGGGCATTACTGTACACTGCTGTGGACTTTATACACAGTGTACACCTAGGCTACACTGAATTTATAAACCAACAGAGATTAAATCAAGGACAAGAGAAAGTTATGCCATCAAGTGATGCAATAAATGAGATGTATGAGGCTGATGCTGCTATAACACAGCATAGTGTTTTACAGCACACTTTTTTTTTAGTAAGTTGAAAGAGTACATTCTAAAATAATAATAAAAAGTATAGTATAGTAAATACGTAAACCAGAAACAAACTCATTTATAAAGCATTATCATGCATTATCAAGCATTATGCACTCTACATAATTGTATGTGCTATAGTTTTATATAACTGGCAGCTCAGTAGGTTTGTTTACACCAGCATCACCACAAACATGTGAGTAATGCATTGTGCTACAACATTCTGAGGGCTGCATGTCACTAGCCGATAGGAATTTTTCAGCTCCATTGTAATATTATGGGACCACCGTCTTATATGCAGTCAGTAGTTGACCACAAAGTCATTATTTGGCACAGGTCTACATGTGGATCTGAAACTTAGAAATGGGCTCTGGACTAAAAACTATTGAATTGCTACTTAAAGTCAAGAAAATGATTAAGGGAAACTGTATATAGTAACAAGAAGAGAAAAGCCACACATTCAGCTCAAAGGAACACTGGCTTGTAGGGAGCAAATGAAGAAGAGAAGGCTTTGTAAAAACTGAGCGTGTGCCCAGAGAGGAGAAAAACAGGAGAGGTTGGTGTCCTAGATGGGAGGAGAGGATTTCATAGAAGAAGATGTGACCAATGGTGTAGACTGTTTCAAGGTTAATTTAGTTAAAGATGACATTGGATTTGGCATATGGAGGTCATTTCTCAGTCACTCAACCATTATTTGATGAGAGATCACTATGTTGAGTGCAATGAAAGACACTGAGGATATAATATTAGCTGAACAGATAATAGCCTCTGTATCCATAATGCTTGATCTAATAGTGAGTATTTATCAAGAAATCTCTCAACTAACCATCCAGAATCAAGAGACATCTGTCTGAATAGTGGAAATTGCCAGAAGAGTGGTGCCCAATGAAGGGCATCTTTGAATTGCCTTTCAATATTAGCTGGTCCAGAGAGTACAAAATGATTTGTGATGGTTCAAGTTCAAGTAAAACTTTTCCTGCCATGTATTCTCTTTCCTATCAATGCCTACCTCTTCCCTTTCAGGCACAAATAGGAAAGAAGGTCTGAAGCAGGCTGCAGTGGGGGGAGAGAAAGGTTAATGCTAAATTCACATTTGGAGTTTTTATTAATATTTTGGACAAGACATTCTAATTATTGAATAGAGACTGAATTTGAGATATAAACTTACAGCATAATCATCTATTACTTAATATTAAGCAGAAAAGCTATTGGGTTGGCCAAGGATTTTCTCAAAGGGGAGGGGAAAATTACCCCATGTGAATTTTAAAGTTATCTATGGGAGACAAAAGTAATGTTTCCTTTGCTAATACATCAGGAGTAATGAACTAGGGAGGACTGCAGCAGATTGAAGAGTGATAAGAGAAGAGGGCAAAAAATGGGAGGTTCCTTTCCAAATATACTTAAAAGAGAGAAAGTA